TCCTCAGTCTCCTTAACCAAGTAAGGGCTCTATCCAGGGTAGACAGGGCAGGGGCAATCTCAAGCCATGATTTGATAGCATTCCATATGAGTGTGGAGGTTTCACAGCTGAAAAAGAGATGCTGACCCGTTTCCTCCTCCTTGTGGCAGAGCTCACATGATCTATTCTCCATAGCAATGAAATGAAGGCTGGTTTTGGTAGGTATTCTGTTACGGAAGATCAACCAAGCACAGAAAGAATATCTGGGTGGGATGTAGGATTTCCAAATAGCCTTCATCCAGGGTCTCACCTCAGCCCTGGTTCTAAGTAGATCATAAACTTTGGTAGCTGATATTTCACCCAAATCACAGAGTTGGTTCTCAAGTTCCCATCTGTTCCCACACTTGAGTAATAGCATGTCTCTGATTTCAGTCAGCTTCTTGAAAAAGTGGGAGTCCTTCTTCCTAGGACTCCAAGTCCAAAAGTCATTGCCATCAAGATAAACAGAATGAACCCATTGCACCCACAGGGTTTCCTTGTTAGAGGCAATATTCCACAGGTTCTTGCTCAAAAGTGCCTGATTCCAGATTATGGGCTGATTCAAACCAAGCCCCCCTTCATCCTTGGGCTTGCAGATATCCTCCCAAGCAACCTTACAGAACTTACTCCCCCAAAGGAAAGTTCTACAAAGGGAGGTTATCCTATCCAAGACAGATTTATGAATAGGGAAAGCTTGGAACCAGAAGCCTTCAATTCCTTGGATCACAGATCTGATGAGTTCCAATCTTCCTGCAGCAGACAGGGTTTTGGTATTCCATTTTCTAATATGTTCATCTTCTAATCTTTACTAATGGAGATTCTAAAAATCTGGCCTACATCTCTAATTTCCTTAAAGAATATGAAGAGGCCTCAGGCCAAAAGATCAATCTCCTTAAAAGTTCCTTCTACACCCCAGACAAAACTCCTTCAACCCAAGCCACAAAAATGGGAAAAATTCTTAACATGCAAAGAGGCTGTTTCCCCTTCAAATACCTTGGCACTCAAATCTACAGAGGCATCAACAGAAAAGCCTACTGCTCCGACCCTTCTAAACCATTTTGATAAAAAACTCAAAGGTTGGTCTAAGAGCCTTCTATCTCAAAGTGGCAGGCTGGTCCTCATTAAACATGTCCTAAGTGCAATCCCCCTACACATACTAGGCTCCACTACACTTCCAAAAAGTGTGATCAACTGCCTCTTCTAGAAAATGAGCAATTTCCTTTGGGGGACAAATAAAGACCATCACAATTATCATTGGATGTCTTGGAACAACATCAGCAGACCAAAAGAAGAGGGGGGACTCAACATCCCCAACATTGCCACCCTTCAGAACTCCTATGGTCTTAAGGTGTGGTGGAGCTACATGAACAAGAACTCACTCTGGGCAGAGTTTATTCATTCCAAATATCCTCATGGCCTCAACACTCTCCCCCACTTGGAAAAGACTTCACTACATCAATGACATTGCCTACACCCTCATTGACCTGGACAGCAACAACAATCCTACCTGGGATGATGAAAAACCTGGCTTTTGCTTAAAGAGAGCTTACAATGCTATGAGAGGAAATCATCCCATTGATACTTCTCTTACCTACTCTTGGAACAAAAAACAGTATCCTAAAATCTCAATTTTCCTTTGGAAGCTCTACAATAACATACTTCCTTTCACTAACAATTTAACAAGATTTGCAGTATGCCTCCCTTCTGTTTGCTTATTGTGCAGGAACAATGTTGATGACCAAAATCACACACTCTACAACTGCCATTACAGCAAACAAGTATGGAACCACTTTGAAGAACATTTCAAAATTGAAAAAACCACAACACATGGCATTTGGGTTTACCTGATGACCTGGTGGAGAAGCAGGGAACATCACACCAATGAGCAGAGGAAGATTATCCCAGGCATCATCACCTATGAGCTCTAGAAAGAAAGGAATTGCAGGAACCATCAGGAGGAAACCAAATCCATTTCACAGCTCATACAACTGATCTGGAATAAACTAACAGAATGGACAATTGGAAAAGGAAAAGGCAGAATTCCACTCACCTTTGAACATCTCATTAACCCAACGCCAACAATTCAAACCTTCAAATGGAAGGTCATTGGAATCATGCTGAACACGGACGTGGCTGTTGGAAAGGGAATCATGGTGGGAGGAGCAATCCTACGTTCAGAAGAGGGTCGATTCCTCAGCGGCAAGACTTGCAAACTCCGGGAAACAGCCAGTGTGGTGGACAGAGAACTGGAAGCTGTGCTCATGGGCCTTTCATGGGCCACAACAATCGTGAAGGGGGGCCTCAACCTACACCTAGACTCCACTAATGCAGTCAAGAGAATCAAAGAAGCCCACAAAGACGACCCAATTAGTCATGATATCAAGACTAAACTTCAACAAATTCAAGGAAGTGCAAAACATGTCTATCGGGAAGAAAACACAACAGCACATAACTTAGCACAATTTGCTCTTGCAAACAATAAATTTTCAATCTACAATTCCATCTCATCACTCCGCAAATCTGTCAAAGGGGCCATTAAGTGTGACAATTGTTGTATCCTAATTCGTATTCAATAAAAAGAATAAATATGTTTAAAAAAAAGTAATGTAGTATTATATATACGGAGTATATTAGATTTTTATCGGATCATGTTACAAATTTTTTAAGATAATACCATTAATATATTAATTTTTTTATTAATTTTTTCTCAATATTAAAATGAAATTAAATTAAATCTGTACATAAAAAATGAAGACATATCTCCATATTAATTTATTTCCAAATGTGGAAATAAAAAAACAAAACAATATAATGCAAATACGGAAAAAAAGAAAACAATATAACAAAACCTTGCTTCCGATTTCCCTTTTTAATTCTCACCATATTTTATTTATTTCCTACTTTCATTACTTTATTACTTTTTTTCACAAATATAGAAATATTTGTTAATTAAGTGCATTTTTTCTATATTAAATATGGCCGTGATTTTATTACTTTGTAACTTTTATTCAAAAATATGCATATGAAAAAAAACCAAACAATATAATGCACGACTTGCTTCTGATTTCGTTTTTTAATATATCTTTACCATTTTTTACAATTATTTCCTCCTTTCATTACTCTATTAATTTTATTTGAAAATATGTAAATAAAAAAACAAAACTCTTTAAAACTCTTTATATATAATATTAATCAGTAATATTTTATTATATACAACAATGTAGTATTTTATATCCTGATTTTTATTTCCTTAATTTAAATAGATTTTGTATTTAATAATAATTAGTATTATTATTTTTATATATAGTAATGTATACATACAAATTTTTAAATGTAATATATTAGATTTTTTATGGAGTCATGTTACAAAACTTTAAACACATCATAATTAACATATTTATTTTTTATTATTTCCGTTTGAAATAATTGCTTTTGATTTCTTATTTAATTCTTGCCATTTTGTATTTATTTCCTCCTTTAGTAGTATCAAGGTAATAATATAGTAGGAAATTGTTACCTTTTTTAGAGTGCCGTAATATTTGCTCCTTTAATAGTAACAATGTAACAATATAGCATGAAATTTTTACCTTTTTAGATTTTTGTAGGTCTACATTAATAAAATATTTTATATCAACCGTAGATGATCAAATCCTCAAAGATCAACGACTCCCAAAGGTGTGAGTTTGGGTGGGAACCGTATACAGTAAATTTCTTTTTTTTAAATATTTTAAAACCTAAATATGTAAATACACAATGCTTTCCTTTTTCGAGTAATGAATGCACGGTATTAATTTTGGAAATTAAATACACACGATATTAATTTTGGTAATTAATACCAATATATACTCAATGCACACAGTATTTCCCTAATAGATTAAAATACACACGGTATTAATTTTGGTAATAATCGGAAATACACACGGTACTAATGCTGTAAATACACACGGTATTAATTTTGGTAATTAAATAGAAACACATTAAATACATACGATATTTCCTTTTTTATCTCGAGCAATACACATGGATTAATAATAACCGTATATTAAATGTAATAGATTAAAATCGATGGTCCATAGATGATAGTCATTGGGCGGGAAAAAGCATGGGGCATAATTCCCCTGCTTTTAAGAATAGGATGATTGGTGGAACTTAAATTCGAAACCAGTAACCTTCATAGATGAGTTTTAACATTTATTTTCTTTGCAATTTCTTAAGACTAACCAATATAACTCATCCATAAAGGTTATTAGTTTTGAGTTTAATTAGGTTCCAGCAGGAAGACTAACAATAATTGAGAGAGGAGTCATCATTTCAGTTTTGGGTTGAGAGGTTCAAACTCAGCAATGAGTTTGGGAAGGAGCATGAGAGAAGGAAGGAAGCTTAATTGAGGAGAGAGAGAAGTGTGAATATACAATTTTATCCATGTTCTTAAAAGCAACGTTAACAAAGGACCATTCAAAAAAAATGATATAATAGTTGGGGACTAAATTAGTGATATCTGATATGTAGGGACTAAATATGTAAAACGACCTATAACTGAGGACCTTTTGTGTAATTTACTCTAAAATAAAATATTTCCATTACATCTTGCATTAAGTGATAATCTTTTTTGACTGAGACTCAAAACTAAAAGGGACCTTAAATTTATATTTATATCATAACTTAATTTATTCTTTTTGAAATTTATGGTTAAAGTTTAAAAACTTTAACTACCAAAATCAATATGAGATTAAAGGGAAGTTTCCTCGTCTTAGCTGGTTATTATCGGTTTTTTGTTGAAGGTTTCTCCTCCATGCCATCCCTATTGAATAAGCCGCTAAGGAAAGACGTCAAATTCATATATAATTGTGTCAACAAAGCTTCGAGCTGCTGGTACAGCCAGTATCTAGACTAAACTACACATTTTTTAGCGACGTGTCTCATGGCGGGCTTGGCTGTGTGCTTATGTAGGAGGGTAAGGTTGTGGCTTATGTCTCACAACAATTGAAACCCCACAAGGTTAACTATCCTACACACGACCGTGAGTTAACAACAGTCGTCTTTGCATTGAAACTCTGGCAACACTATCTCCTGGTAAAGTCAACATGGTGGCCGATGCTATATTGACTACCATCCTGGTAAAGTCAACATGGTGGCCGATGCTTTGAGTCGGAAAACCATGGTAGAACTGCGACTTAAGCATACTCTGGAGAGCGAGATTCAAGCGGCCCAGAACAAGGATGACTATTGTATGAAGACCTATGAGCTTGTCTCTAAGGGAGACAGACAAGACTTCACTATCGGTGGAAATGGGACCTTACTTTATCGAGATCGCTTAGTGGTGATGAGTGGTGAAGTGAGGGAGCGCTAGCTGCGTGATGCTCACAATACTGGGTACACTATGCACCTTGTTAGAAATAAGATGTATCAGGATCTCAAACAGATTTTGGTGACCGACTTTGAATCAAGAGATCTTAGAGTTTACATCTAGGTGTTTGACCTACTAGCAGGTCAAAAAAGAGCATCAGGCACCGAGTGGATTTTTGCATCCACCACTCATTCCCGAGTAGAAATGGGAAAGGATCACGATGGATTTCGTGATAGTGTTGCCTTTTTCGAACAGGAGAAACAAAGGTGCTTGGGTCATTGTGGACCGAACGACAAAGTTAGCTCACTTCTTACCAATTAGGCGAGACTTTTCCTTGCAAAAGTTAGTTGAACCCTATATTCGCGAGATTGTCAAATTGAATGGGGTGCCATTATCTATTTTCTTGGATCGCAACCCGCAATTTACATCTCAATTTTGGAAGAGTCTACAGAACGCTCTTAGTACCAAGCTTAATTTAAGTACGACGTTACATCCTCTGGTGGACGGTCAGCTGAGAGGATGATTGAGATTTTGGAAGACATGATGAGGGCTTACGGCATCGGTTTTGGAGATAGCGGGATATATACCAATGATGGGATTTGCTTACATCAATAGGCAACAAGCTAGTATCTGGATGGCTCCGTACGAGGCACTATATGGAAGACGTTTGCAGAACCCGAGTCTGTTGGATAGAATTGAGTGAATCCAAGCTTGAAGGACCTGATCTCGTCCGTGAAATAGAAGGAAAAGTCTGGTTGATCTGTGACAGGCTACTAGTTTCTTCAGATCATCGAAAGTCTTACGCCGACCTCAAGCGTCAGGAGATCAAATATAATGTGGATGATCTTGTGTTCTTGAAGGTTTCACTTTGGAAGAAGGTTCTAAGTTTTGAAAGAAGGTTCTCAGTAATTTTGAGGATGAAATTATTTTAAAGGGGAGAGAAATGTAATGCCCCAAAACCCAACTTATCTGAAGTAATTAATTAAAAATAATTAATTAATTATTGAGATGGACCTCGAGTTAATTATAAATATTCGTCAATTAAATGTAAAGTTTATACTGTTGTGTCGGGTTCGACGAGACGAATCCAACGGTTCCAACAGATCTGAATTTGGTGTGAATTGTGTCGAAAAGTGTATTTTTATCTAGGTAAGTTAATTAAAATGTGGAGCACAAAACCCTACAATATAAATACACCCCACATGCATGTTTTGCACGTACGTCGCACGACCCAACCTTTCTCTCTCATCTCTCGATTCGAGCGACAGAAGCAGCAGTGGGAAGCGCAAGAAGAAGAAAGAGGAAGAAAGAGGGGGAGAGGAGTCGCTGCTGCCCGTGCTGCCGCCTCCAACGTCATCGTCCCCAGTTTCCATCCTTGTTTTTCTTCGTAGTTAATCTTTCGTCAATTCGAGGTGAGTACATGGACATCTAATGCTATATTATATACACAGGTTTGAAATTCATGCTCATGAGTTCGTTTTATTGATTTGTTTTCAAATTTGATGTTTTTGTAGAAATTGGGAATTGTTGGTGATTTCCTTGAGTAGATTGCATGATTAAGAATCAATTACTCAATTGGTTTGTTATAATATATCTAAGTATATATGTTATGTTTATGTTTTGGATACTGAGTAATGTGAATTAGGTTTGCAAAATCAAGAATCTCCAATTTGCACGATCACACCAAGTTCAGCGTAGACATGCAGTAGGGTGTTAGCGTTAGTCGGTACCTTGCTACCGTCGGACGGTAGTATGCTACCGTCGGTGGGTAGTACACTACCGCCACAATGCGATCAGTGTTGTCTGAATTTTAGGCTTCCATCCTAAATGTCAAGGATGTAATCTAAGACTTGTTTGAGGCATGATGGTAAGAATGAGTGTTCACACCCAGTGCTAGGCCACTATTTGAATAATGTTTTATGTGTTGGATATATTGATCATAGTGTTAATATTTAGAAGTTTATGGATGAAGAGGAAAACGATTGAATTAATTTACCTAGAAGAACTCTAGGGCTAATCTACATGTAATATAGGCAAGTTATGCCTTAAGTATAAAGAGGTTAGAACTATGTGGTACCTGCTGGGTCCTATAGCTATTTGGGTATAAACGTGTGCACGAGGATCTATGAACTTTCGTTTCGAAGGGGACATGGATCTCACCCACCCAACGAGGAACTCTTGAGTTGGTTTGAGCTTGACCTTCATTCCAAAGGGAAAGGTCATGACTCCCATAGGAAAGTATAAAGAGCAAGCCTTAGCCTAGAATATGTTACTTGCTAAGAGTACAAATCAAGTGACTTAAGTAATAAGCATTTATATGTACTATATGATCTTAATTCCTTCCTTTATAAGATTCATGTATTGTTGGTATGTATAATTATGTGCATGATATCAGAAGATTTTATGAGCTAGTGGGTTTGTCTCTATGCATAGTCATACGTTAGATGTTTCTCACTTAACTTCTATGCTGAGCGTGTGGTGTTTGTTATTTTACTACACGTAGGCAATCAGGTACAGGATGAACCTGAAGCCTATCGCGGAGGGCAATGAATACGAAGAGATGTGCATGGGCATAATTGAAGATTTTGAATTCTTATTAATTACAAAATGACCTATTAGTTTTACGGGCTTAATTCCCATGTCATTTTAATAATGACTTAAGCTTCCGCATTACATTTTAAGTACTCCGATGAATGTTTTAAATTATATTTTGAAGTATGTATTTAAAATTGTTTTGAAAGTAAGTCGTGTTTAGATACCAATTTAGTAGCAACCTGGTTCACTGATCCATGTATTCAGGTTATGCGGGTTTGGGTGTTACACTTTATTAGTTCCTTGCAGTATTTCGATTCACAAATGAAAGTACCTTCCCTCATTTGCTTGACTTTTAATCCGAAGAAGAATTTAAGCTCGCCCATCATGGACATCTCAGATTCATCGGTCATGAGTTTTGAAATTCCTTGCACAAAGACTCCTTAGTAGCACTAAATATAATATCGTTTACATAAACTTGAACCAATAGGCTGTTATTGTTTTTACTCTTGATAAAAAGTTTTGTGTCAACTTTTCCCCTTTTGAACCCATTGCCTAGAATAAATTTCCTCAAACGTTCATACCAAGCACGATGTGCTTGTTTAAGAACATAGAGTGCTTTGTTGAGCTTGAAGACGTGATTGGGGTACTCAAAGTCTTCAAAGCCCAGGGGTTGGTCAACATACACTTCCTCTAGAGTAAAATCATTGAGGAAGGAACTCTTAACATCCATTTGGTATAGTTTAAAATCCATAGACAAGGCAAAATCAAGTAGTAAATGAATAACTTCTAAACGTGCTACTGGTGCATATGTTTCTTCAAAAACAATGTCTTCTTCTTGATTGTAGCCTTTAGCTACGAGCCTAGCTTTATTCTAGTGATTATTCCATTTTCGTCAAGTTTTTTATGGAACACCCATTTCGTATCAATAATTGTTCGGCCATCGGGCCTTGGCACCATTCCCATATGTCAATATGTTTGAATTGGTTAAGCTCTTCTTGCATTCCCAAGGTCGAGTGTTCATCATTAACTACTTCTGAAATGGTTGTGGGTTCAATTTGTGAAACAAAAGTCATGTGCTCTATAGTGTTCCTAAGAGAGTTTCGAGTACTTACCCATCGGTTGTGTCACCAATTACCTTGTCCAGTGGATGGTTCTTGTTTGTTCTCCGAGCTATGGGTAGCTCGGTTTTCTCTTCTTCTTCCTCTTCTTGAGGAGTTTCTTCCATTTGAGGTGTCTCCTCAACTTGGGGTTGTTCTTTCATTTGATTGTTTGAATCCGTTGATGCAAACAGGTTCTCAACCTCTTTGTTGTCTTGGATATGTATCCTCTCAAGTGAGTCTCCAAGGTCATCACAAATATCCTTTCTCGCCAAGCGAGCATTATTCCCGGAAAACACAATGTGAGCAGATTCCCTAATAGTTAAGGTACGTTCATTGAGACTCTATAAGACTTGCTACTTAATGAGTAACTTAGAAAAGTTCCTTTTAGCTGATTTTGCATCAAATTTTTCAAAATTATTTTTGCCATTCTTATGAATAAAACATTTGCATCCAAAGACTTGGAGGTGGAGCTTTCTTTCTTTTTTATAATTTATAAGGTGTTTTCTTGATTATCGGTCTAATGCCGGCTCGATTTAAAACGTAGTTCGCGGTACTCACGGCATCTGTCCAGAAATACTAAGGGAACTTTGCCTCATTGATAATAGTTCTAAACATCTCTTTGAAAAATCTAATTTTACGTTCCACCACTCTGCTTTGTTGTGGTGTACGTGGGACTGAGAAATTATGATCAATTCCAAGTTCATCACAAAAATTTGAAAATAGATTTCGTTTGAACTCTCCTCCATGATCGCTTTTAATGGATACAATGGTGGACTCTTTTTCATTTCAAACTTTCTTAAGAAAACTTTTGAAAACCTGAAATGCCTCGCCAAATCAACCTAAGTCTAAGTCTTTGTCTTGATCTTTGTTCTTGATGCTTTTGTGCCTTTTCCCAAGTGTTGTTTTATACCTTGAGGTGTTCAAAAAAGCTTCTTCATATCCACTGTGGTTTGGCATTCATCAAAACTTATCAAAAAACCGAACATCACTTTAGTACAATATTATTGTAAAGTGTGTTCCAACAATCACCTCGTGGCTAATCTAGTCCTCTGAGACACTCTCTCGATGGTCCTACTAAGTTTCAATCTTCAACAGGTGCTTGAAAAATATTTTACAACCTGAAAACTTGAATCCCACCAACCTAAACACTTTTTCAAAAAGTTTTGAGTCACACAAGTCTCAGCAACTCAAATCAAAGATGAATCTTCAAGTTTGCTATAGCATAAGTAAAAACACTAGATGAATAACTCACAAGATGAGCAAAAAGTGTTTAAAAATATAAGCTCTAATGGATTCCGAATTATTTGCACTCAAAAAATATTTTATATACTCTCAAAATATATTGAATTGAGGAGAAGATTGATGGAGGAAGTGATATATTGATATAGGATCAAATGGGAGTGCTTGAAATACCTTAGAATGAAGGCACATTAGGGTTTATATAAGGCAAAAGAAAATATATCTCTTACACCAAAGGAAAGAATTTTGGTGTGCAGGAGACAAGATAAAAATCAATTTTTAGAGGTAGAAAATTGATTTTCTTAATCTCTGGAAAATCAGACAATGCAAAATGGTTGATAAAAAATCGATTTTGGAAAAGGAGAAAATCAATTTTTCAAAAGGTGAAAATCGATTTTAAAAAAACTTGTTCCAGACCATTGAGAAACAGGCTCAAGAAATTGATTCTTACAAGGAAAAATTGATTTTTGATGCGGACTTTTCAAAGACAAGATCTCAAAGAATAATTTCACATAAATCTAAGGTCAAATGACTTATATTTCTCGTCTCTCATGTGTATTTTTTTTGAAATGGTTTTTAAATAACCTAATAATATTCCTAATTGAAATTTTGAATTTGAATTCAGTTGGGGTGCAAGACCGACTCTGCAAAAAAATTGTGACAAAACGATGTACAAAAAATAATTATGAAGAGTATTTTTATCACACAAAAATATATATAAACAAAATGTTTTAAGAAAATTTTGATACACTTTTGTAATTGACTCAATTAAGATATCTTTGGACAAAAAAATTATTTCTCTACTAACTCTAAAAATAAATTATTTTAATATAACCCTCAAAAAATAAAATTTAATAGAGTGAAAAATTATATTTAATAGAGTGAAAAATTTAATAAATTATTTTCTTGTTTGTCCAAAAATTAAATTGTGTTTATCAAGAGTGTTTGTCATTTATCAAAACCTTAAAAATAACAACACTAAAAATACAAAGGGATTTGAACTCAAGTCTAATCTTTTTCCTTTTTTTGATAATGACAAACCAAAAGTTGAATTTTAACAAATCATAATACGCAAAGGTGTGAAATTCAAGATGGATGAAATACTCCTTAAAATAGGTTCCACCCTACAAAATTAGAATCAGGTAATACCAAAAATTTGAACAGAGTAACATTAGAAAATAATTTCTCAACATTCCTTCCCCTTTTTGGTATTAATTATCAAAAGAGAGCTTCCCCTCAAATCAAACTATGCATATTTTAACGAAAGTGTATTCAAAAAGCAATGGATAGCCAAGTAAGGTGCCAACACACCTTTAAAAAAATCTTGTAGAAATTTTGCAAGAGGTTCCTTTGAAAAATGGGCTAAAGCCACTTTCGACAAAAAAACAATATGTCCAAAATGGACGAAATCGTAAAACCAATAATAAAGAGCAAGTGTCATAAACTTAATAAAGTCATACATAGTAAAATAAACAATAAACTTAAAACAAGTGATGTCAAGCACAATTAAAATAATGTCATTAAAGAAAGGAGTAACAATAAGGGAATTTAAAAGAGAAGAGTATCTAGCCCCAAACTCTATGTTGAGGACCATGGTACGAACAGGACAAAAAAAACCTTTCAATGAATTCAAGCCTCTCATTCGTCGCCATTTTAATCTGAGTGATGTCATCCCTAACACAAGTGATGGCATTAAGAATCTGTTGAACCCAAGACGGCTCGACGGTAGGTTCTTCTCTAGGGAAAGGACGAAGACTATGAGCTTCTCTCACTTGAGCACGACTTGAACCATTGGTGTTGCTTTCCACATGTCCCCTTCTATTGTGTCCTCAATGGTGCGAGGGTTTGACTTGTTTGACCTTCTTGTCAGCACTTGTTTTAAAAACAAGTAAACATGCTTTTCTTGATGTACCAAGTCCGCTTAAAACTTATCCGTATGTCCAGGTTCAAGTTCACTCAACCATGAACAAGGATTTTCATTATAGGAATGACAAAACGAAGATGATTTAACCATTTACGATCACGAACGACTATAAGAAAAAACTTTACCAAATTCACTTTGATGTTGTTCAAGAGAACATGAAATAACTTAATGTCATCTTGATTGACAATACTATGATTAGAGTCACGAGGCAACAAGAAATTGAAAAATATGTACAGTTGAACGCGTTGGGTCAAAGTGAGGTTTGTGACACTAGGGTGACTTGGTGAAGCAAAAGTTAGAGTTGAATAAGGCTTCTTGACTTGCCAACTCTAGTTTTGAACAAATATTTATTGACCGAACCTAAAATGACCTACTAAAATTGAGTCAAATCTGACCCAACTTGAAATCGGACCCGACTTGACCAATTCGTTAATGTAAGAATGTTTCAAAATCATATATTTAAAATCAAATAATATTTTATAAAAATAAGGTTATAATTTAATGTTTTTGGTATATAAATTTTTATTTTTGGTTAATAAATTTAATATTCAAGAAAAATTTTAATGATATCGCACAATCATCTTCTTTTTTTTCAAAAATTTGGCATATTTAGTTTGTTATCCGTAATATTCATTTTTATGTATAAACATTAGTAAAAATTCAAAATAAAATAATCTAATACATTTAATACATATTTTTTAATATTTTATTTATTCGACGTGAAACCTAAGTGTTAATATAAATCTAAAAAAATATAAATGTAAAGGTCGTAATCTGTTTAGTCGATCTGAACTTAATGACATTGGTAATGAACTTGTAGTTCTTAACCTGAACCCAAAGTTACACAAACTAGAAGTGACTTAGCCTAACGTGATTGACCAATTTTCGAGCTCTAGTGTTTTTTAATGAAATTTATTTTTATTAATTAAATGCATTTTCTTCTTTATTAATTAACAACAACAACAACAACAACCCAGTTAAATTCCACAAGTTCTTTATTAATTAAATGTATTTATTTAATTAGAAAAAGGAAGTGAGTATTTGAAATTTTGAACAAGCACCCTTCTAAATTTGAATAATTCAAATACAATAAATAGTTTTTAGATCGTAAAATTCCATTGGGCCATTAAAATGAGTTCTTGGCCCACCCATTAAATGCCCTAATAACGTTGGGTCGAAATTTGCTATTTGGCCAATTAAAAATATTTAGTCTCCTTTCTCCTTACCTTTGATTGTGTACTAGTTCTCTAACCCGTGCGTTGCACGGACATCATTTTGAGCCCGTGAAAGAAAATAAAAAATAAATTTATAGTGTATATAAAGAAAACACAACGAAATTGTGTTCAATATAAATATTAAAAATATTACTATATACTAATATTGAGGAATGCACAGTGAAACAAAAAACAAAATTAAAGGTTTTGAAAGACTTCTTTGTACACAATATTTCTAAATCAAGTTAAAATAAATGTTGAACAAAAATAGCGTACAATAACATAATCAATTAAAATGTCAAGTCAAACACAAAGCTTGAGGATGAGATGTGATTTGAAAACAACCATAGAAAAGTGATGTTTCTTTAATGAAAATAGGTCCAAAGCATTTGACATTATCAAAGCCCCATCACACGCTTCTCAGTATAAAGTCATATCATGCTTTTACTATTTCTCATAAACTGTTATACTTTCCCATAACCTATTTATTTAAGTTACACTTTTTCATAAACTTTACCTTTTTGTCATAAACTTTAACATTTTTCTATAAAGTATTTATTTAAGTTACAATTTTCTATAAACTTTAATTCTTTCCATTAAAATTTTACACTTTTCCATAAAATATTTATTTAAGTTACAGTTTTCCATAAATTTTAACTCTTTCTCATAAACTTTTACACTTTCTCATAAAGTATTTATTTACGTCAACACCAGTAATGCTGCGAGGATTTTACTCTAATCTAGGCTTTGTTTGCATCGTCGTCCTCATCTAGTTCCGATCGAATTTAATTTGTAGATGTCCGAAGATGAATGAAGCTGAAGCGACAGGGGGCTAACCCCTCTGCGGTATCTGCTTGGTAAAAAATTGTTACAATCTCGTCGCAAGAGATATCACCAGCCAGCCGGGATGTCTGCCAGCATGCCACACTACCCGGCATAACCCATTACCACTGAAAAATCCACCCAGCACTTAAAAAATACATGTAGCAATCATTTCCACAGCCGTGTGAATCTCAATGCTTCATTTGTAAAGCCAACTTAATTGAGTGCCATCACGACCAACAAAAATAGGCAAATTAGTACTACGTTTTACTAAACAAACCGAAAATTAATCAGTAATGAGAGGAAGACAAAAAACAAACCTTATGGAAGAAACAGTGGTGGCAGCGCGATAAGATCCGGCAATTAAAGACATATTCAGCATCTTCTTTGTAATTTGCCCTTCATGGTCAAAAGATATAAGAATCAGACATGTGGTGCTTGGAAGGAACTTGGCATTCGATGAATCACCTGCATCAAAATAGAAGCTAATTTAGATTATTTACTCTCCTTTTTGGCTTGGTACTTTCAATTTGTCGATCACTTTCTGGGTTGGATTCTTAGAAATAGATTCACTATAGTTTTACTTAACTTGGACAGCATTATACTAACATATGTTAGCATATTAGGATATACCATGAAGAAGTCTCGTAGTTGTCATCGGTGTAGGTGTTGGTCTGCCAAAATCGGAGGATAGCTTATGTCTCCAAGATAATTCAAACTACTTGTATTAAAGTAGCCACAAACTAAATCCAAAGATAAAAAAATGAACAAATGTTAGGATCCAAAAACAATTGCTAAGAATCCAAATACAAACACTACAAAGTAGATTTAGGACACATGCAGAAGAAAAAACATCTTACAATTAAGGGTAAAGAAATACAACAAAGAAAGCTAAATATTTTATCTGAAATGCACTTAAGACAGGCCATTTATATGAGCAAATCTTTGGCAAATTGTTACTCCGTCAGGGTAGTACAAAACATTGAGCAAATTTAAGGGAGCAAATCTTACCAAAGCAAATCAAAAGCCCCCCTGCCCAAATCAGAGTGTCCCAGCATTGGATTCAAACTCAAGCAAATACTAAAGTTTTAGTTTAATATAGCATCTAGATTAGTATAAAAGTTTGAATATCATCATCCCTTCTTCGGAAGTAATTCATGAACATATATTGAGCAACCTCAAACAGCCTATATATTGGCTAGCACATCTGCGACCCTTGCAAAGAAGCAACAAAATACTTAAGAATGCAATGGATTGAATTGGAAACCAATCAATAGCTGGTACGTATTCCCTATGAGAAAAATATTATACCCACGGTTCTAAATATCCAGATTTAAGAAGAGTAAATAAAAATTTTAATTCAAGAAAAAAATTGCAGCAAGTAAATAAGCCCCCCCCTATCTTACCTTGTTTTGTTCGAAGACACATTGTCCATGGTTGCCACAATCCATCTAGCCCAGGTCGAAACCCTACATGGTTGCCATAACCTTCTTCGTAGCAAGATCCAATCGTTTCAAAACCCTAGCCCAGGGCATAGTGTCCGGCGAGCAGTGACCACAGATGCTTTGCCAACTATAAAATAAGCACTTGTTGCCTGCTAATGAGAGAATCTTAGATGAGAAGTAGAAGGGCACAGATCACATATTAGAGATGCTTACAGTGTACGCGATTGAAGCCTCGCTTATTCCGCTTGAAGCCTCGGTTATTCAGGCGCGGTCGTCTCCTACTTTATTCCCGCGTGGTCGTCTCGCTGTCCATGGAATGAAGAGGCATGGTGAAAATCCTAGATGCTTTGCCGTCTAGGTTGCAGATCTAGAAAGACGTACGGTGTAAAACCCAAGAATAGTAGCGACTGGCTGGCTTCTCCAATAAGTAGCGACCGGCTGGCTTCTCCAATAGCTTAAAACCACTATTCTTTTTCCACTGTAGCTTAGCTTGGGCGGGAAAATGACACTATTCATTTTATCCCTTTAGCTTTGTATATAGATAGATTACGTCGCTTGCTTTCCTCCACTCTCCTAGCATTTCTCCACCCCCGGATGTTGAGGATATTTTCTCTAAAACATTCAGTGAGTTATCATACCGAGAAGTCGAAGACCTCAAATAATAAGATCAAGTTGAAGAGTTGCGATGACAAGGCATTTGTACTCTATAAATCAGTGGCCCTCTAGATTCAGTTTCTTAAGAAATTGCTGAGGGTGGCTATGAATCTATTATCCACATCCCTTACATGGATATCAAGATTTTGACTATTATCATCAACTACTGCACCCGCTTAATAGATGTTGATGATTTCATCAAATTTGATCTGTGGACCATCTATGAGATCATGTGCGTATGCATGAATCTCTCTTGTTTATTTTTTCACTTAATTTTGGTTTTTCTAGCCGATCTATCATTATTCTAATTTCTTTGTGTTTGAATGATTAGATTTTGGCAAAATTGACAAGAATACTCCCAGAATTTACAGATTTTACATAAATACTCCTAAATTTGTTTATTTACACCATTACTCCCACATTTCTCTTTTATTTACGTTGTTACTCCCAAATTTGGTAGTGATCATTAGTGTTACTTGAATGTGTCATTTTTGCGTTAAGTGAACAGTTAAAATGCAGACATGTATTTTTTCCACTCTAATATACCAAATTAACCTCAACTTATTCTCTCCATCGTCTTTCTCACGTCTTAGTAAGCCTAATTATTGCCCTTATTTCCCATCACTTTTAAAAAAATTGAGATTTCAAACTTTTTAAATCTTTTTAATGTTTAATATCAAGTCTGTTCATATTAATTTAATTTGAATTCTGATGGTGTAAATTACGTGACCGGTCAAACTATACTGGACTGGGTCTAGAATAGTTGGCTTGATTTGGTAAAGTAAAGAAGGTAAAAACACATAGATTGACCGGTAAGACTTTAGGTGGAATACCTGTAGCCCAAGTTATATTATAATAGAGAATGCACGGGTGCTTTTACAAGGGAGTTTAGAGAGAATGAATTCTGATCCCCTTTTTCGAGGGTTACAAGAGATATATATACTAAGCTGGGGGGACAGGGCCATGTGCGTCCACGCGGGGGCACGCTGCTGATGTGGTGCGAGGTGACTGGTTTCGTCCTCGAGCTGCCCTGTCGCCTTGTGAGGGGAATCACTTCCCTTGTCGCGTTCTGGCTTGGAAATATTCCTTCGGCATCTCCACTGATCCCCCAGCAATGCCAACCACTACAGTCCAAGTCCTTTTGGACTCTTCCTGCTGACACTCTCCAATCTTCGGAAACTAGACCGGGTGATCCTTGAGGGTTGGTTTGGCTAACTTCGGAGGATGAATTTAGGCGATGGAATAATTTGACCGGTATACTCACCTGAAGTGTACCGGTCAACTTTCTGGTCAACCAGCCATCCCTTTGCTGACGGCTCAAATCTTTCTCTTAAGTTTGACCTCTTTGACCGGTCAACTATCCGGTTCCATCTTTTGACCGGTCATGGGTGAAATACACCCATCAATAAGCCCTCCACTTCTCGGTTATGCAATCTGTCATAAACGGGAAGAAAAAATCCGAGAGGTACATTCAAAATTCAAATTTCTGACTTTTCCCGCTCGAATATTTCAAATTCAAAATTTGAAAACTGTCGGTTTTGACACGTTTTGGACGCTGGCCATGGCAGCAGTCGCGTCCTTTCGTCTTCCCATGCGTGATGATTGCGCCGCCTAACGCGGCACATTCTGCTGGGGCCACGTCGCCTCTCCTCAGATTCTCCTCGCCTATATAAAGGCCTTCAGCCCATTCATTCCTTCACTTCTTCTCGCGCGACCCTTCTGAGTTTCACCGGTCAAGCTCCTCGTTCTTGCCTTCCAGCCTTGCGAGCCAAGTAAGCTCTCTTCTCTCTTCCTTAGCTTTCCTTTTGTTCTCCGCTTTTCTTTCCGGTCAATGTCTTCTCCTGATAGCCAAGACATTTCCGCCTCAGATGTCCACGTATCTGAGGAATCCCCGTCATCTTCTTCGTCGACCGGGTCATCTTCACCCGTTCCTAGACCCCGGTCGGTTCCATATTCCAATGTTCCGAACCCGCGGCCAGTAAATCAGATGCCCGGTCAGATATTTCAGGAGAGGGATGCACCGGTGGAAGACGAACCGGCTCCCTATGACCTTGAAAACGAGTCACTCGAGGAATGGGAGGATCGGCTAGAAACAGCCGGTTATTCTCCCCTCCCCACCTGCTATCCCTCAGAGATTTTTCCCCGGGTCTCTAAGATAGCTCAAAACAAGGTTCGTAGGAATCTGCCGGAGGGGTACGTCCTTGAATACGACCCCAGCTGGCCGAACATCATTGAGCCTCACCGGGACAATAGGGTAGGTTTCCACATTATTTCCCTAGAGAGCGGTACTGTTTTCCCCCTTCGCCCCCTTCTGATCGAGTTGTGTCGCTGTTTCAAAATCCTTCCCGGGCAAATCACGCCCAACGCCCACCATTTCCTCAATGGCTTCGTGAATATTTGTATAGAGCTTAAGATTGATCCTTCCCTCCGCTTGTTTCTCTACCTGTTTGAAGTCCTTCCCGGTAAGTCGGGTTGTGACGGTTACGTCTACTTCAGAGGCCGCAACGGCCGTCAATTTATCTCAGACCTTCCACAAAGCAACCGGCAGTGGAAGGAAAAATTTGTCTTTATAAAATTCCCCACCGATTCTCCCTTGGCCGGTATAAAGTGGAACGACCATATCCTCAAGTCCCAATACACCGAGCCGGCTAGCGCTCCAGACTTGGAAGAAAGTTTGGAGAGACTTCTACAGGGGGACCCGTTCACCGGGCAAATGTTCCACTATGGGGCTTGGATTTGGAGGATCCAATCGGGTGGTAAGGGTACCCCTCGGGCCCATGAGGCAGCGGGGCACGGGGTACCCTCCCCGGGCAACACTGCTGAGGCCGGGGGCCCAAGCCACCCAGGTATCTTTCATTCTTTCTCTCGTTCAATCTTACCGGTCAAAGTTTGAATACTCACAAGTTTTTTGCCTGTTTTTGTAGACATGAACTTCAGAGCGTTCAACATGCCGAAGACAACCGGTGGCTCTTCCTCCGCTGCCGCCAAAACCAGACCGGGCCAACCAGAAACTGTTGTAATCCACGACGAGGAAACTCCCCAGACCGGGGGGGTTGATCAGTCAGGGAAGGCGCCGGTGAACCCTATCCCTGACAAGGGGAAAGGAAAGAAGAGGGTGAAGCATGTGGCCACCGCCCATCCATCCTCCAAGAAGAGAAGAGGAGAGCACTCCCCAGTTAAAGAATCAATGGAGGAGCTGTGGGTCAAGGTGACCCTTAAGCTAAAAGAGGTAACATTCCCCCGGTATCTTTCTCAACATTCTACTTGCTCATTCTGACTAACCGGTCTGATCTTCAATTTGCAGATGGGCGAGGTTGGGTCGGAAACCTTGGAGCAGCTCACCGGGGACTCCTCCTCCCGGTTGACCCAACTTGAGGAGCAGCTGAAGAGATCCGAGGCTCATAACCGGGAACTCCAGGATCTGACAGCCCGCCAGCTCGAGGAGATGGACAACCTCTCTAGGATGGCCGGTGAGGCAAAGGCTGAGATCCTCCAGCTGAAGGAGGAGAACCTGAAGCTCATGGAGGACGCGGAGCTTAAGGAGAAGGAGTTTCCCGGCAGGGCCAAGCTATGGATGGAGGAAAATTTGGTGGAGGCTGCCCGGGTTCTCACTTCTTCTGAGGAAAGAACGATGGAAGGCTTCAAGCTTCTTTACCGGGAAGAGCAAGGAAAAGAGATGATTACCCAAATTGGTTCCTACGGGTTCGTGTCTGGCCAAAAATGAGACCGGGAGGCCACTCATGCGATCCTTGCTGAACGGGACCCAGACTTCAATGCTGAATCATACGGCCTGGCCCCATCCCGGATGAAGAGCCTGCACCTCCCTTTCCTCTCGAGTAATCTTCCCGACTGCGACCGGTTGAATCGTTTTGTAAAACTTCAAACCTGCTATTTTCCCGGGAATGCCCGGTGTACCATGTAAACACTTGGTTTTTGCGCTCTCGGATGCATATTTGAATTTCTTACCGGTTAATCTTGCCTTTTGCTTCGTGATTGATATTTTGCTCCTGTTTCTTAAAATGCCATCATAGGATATTTGACCGGTAGGAATTCAAAGTTTTCTCTGATCACTTTATCTCAAAGATCATCTCGAGAAACTTTGACCGATCAAACTTCAATTTTCGCTTTCTTAGCTTGTATTTGAATCCGTTAAGTCCAGCTTGGTAGAACTGCAGTTGACTGGTGGAACTCCAGCTTTTGGTTTTGAAAACCTTCATCTTGATGGTCAACTTTGAGAAAGCTTGACCGGTTGAACTTCCGCTCTTAAACATTTTCATTTCCGGCAGATTCTACCCTTTCTTCGATATAGTTTGACCGGTTGGTCCCTTCTCTACGGTCCGACTGGTCAACTGATAAAGTGTAGGTTCTTCGATAAAGTGCAGTTTGACCGGTAGGTCCCTTCTTCAGGTCCGCCCGGTGAACTGCCTTGCCTTGAAGAACTTTCGAAGTTCTGTCGTATCAATACCCAACCGGGGTATTCCTCTTTTTTTTTTATCGGTAGGTTGTAGATGGAACACCTGTAACCTAGTAATTTCTTGAAGTATCCTTATCTGGTAAGAATACTGGAGATTTAACCATGTTGAATGGTTTCGAACCCTCTCCAAGGTCCAAATGTACCCTTCTTCTAGGGCCCCCTCTTCCGGGTGATTAAGTCTTTTAATGGCCCTTTGATTTCTACCATCCCAAGAAGGCCTTAGCTCAGCCCCCCGTTCAAGTCTTCCCTAAGAAGGGGGAAATAGGATGCGCCACGGTGGACGATCCCCTTCTATTTCTTTTAATGGGCATCTTTTAGTCCCCAATCAATTTGACGGCGCCGGCTGATTCCCCGACACCGGTCAAACCTCATGGGCCCGTGTAAGTACGATTCGAACCCTCTTCCAGGTCCAGCCCTCTTGCAGGCATACCCTCTTCCGGGCCCCTCTTCCGGGTTTTATTATTTTTTCTATTATACTAAGCAAGACCGGTGTAGTAACCAGCGTGCCAGGTCCGGGCCTGTGTCTCAGTTGGCTTGTCCAAGTGGATTCGATCCACCCGGGAAGCCCTCCTAGGATAGGTTCGACCTATCATTCCTGTTGCTACCATGTAGAGTATTGAACATCATTTTGATTTATAACTGAAGTAGGCCTCGCCTAGTATTACAGTCATTTGTAGAATTTGCGAAGATGATGGGAATTCCAAGTTCTTTCAACCGGTACGCCATCTAGAGTTTCCAACCGGTAGGTCCCCGGGCGAATGATAGCTCTCACCCGGTAAGGCCCTTCCCAGTTCTTGGCCAACTTTCCTCCATCGCCAGGTCTACCAGCCTCTCTTCTTCGCAGGACTTCGTCTCCAACTTGGAAGTATCGCGGTCCAACCTTGTTGTCATGGTACTTCTTCACGACTTGTTGATATGTGCTCATTTTAACTTCTGCAGCCATCCTTCGTTCCTCGACCAGGTTGAGCTCGGCTAGATGGTCTTCTTCATTTTGTTGGGGTTGATATTTTGACTCCTGGGATGTTGGGAATTCGGCTTCGATGGGCAGCCTTGCTTCACACCCATAAGTCAAGGAGAATGGAGTTTCCCCATGAGCCCTCCGGGGTGTTACTCGGAATGCCCAAATGATGTGCGGAAGCTCTTCCAACCACTTGTTTCCTGCTTCTCCCAGCCGCTTTTTCAAACCGTCCACAATCGTTCGGTTGGCGTTTTCCACTTGGCCGTTTCCTTGGGGGTAGGCCACTGAAGAACGATTGTGCTTGATTCCGAAGCCCTCCAAGTATTCAGTGAATCTTGGATTTCTGAATTGCGGTCCGTTATCGGTGATGAGGTTCATGGGAGCTCTGAACCGCGTGATGATGTTCTTCCAAATGAACTTCTTGCATTGTTGCATGGTAATGTTGGCCAACGCTTCGGCTTCAATCCACTTGGTGAAGTAATCGATGGCCACGATTACAAATTTCTTCCTTCCTTGGGCTATTGGGAATGCCCCAATGATATCCACCCCGAATCTAGCGAAAGGGATGACATTTGATATGGGGTGATAGTAGGTCGCCGGCCTACCGGGGTACTTGTAGAACACTTGGCATGTTCTGCACTTCTGAACGTACCTCTCACAGTCCTGGACAATTGTTGGCCAGTAATACCCCAACAAGATAATGGGCTGGGAAAGAGTACGGGACATTTGATGCGCCGCGCATACGCCTTCATGGACTTCTGCCATGACTCGCTCAGCCTCCCGGTTGGTTAGGCACCTCAGGAGGGGTCCCCCGAACGCCCTCTTGTACAGCTTTCCGTCAAGGACTTGGAACCGGGGTGCCCTGAGCTTCACTTTTCTTTCCCGGTCATCTTGTTCTGGCAAGGTCCCGTCCATCAGATATTCCATCAGATCATACATCCAGTGGTCATCCGCCCCGACCAAGTTTGACCGGCCAGGTTGGCCTGCTCCTGTTATGGCGGCTACTTCCAATTTTTCGATGCTGGCATGGTCTAGGATTTCCACCCGGGCAAGTTTTGAAACATGCTCGGGAGCGTACTGCGTCAATTTGGAGAGAAGGTCTGCATCTGCATTTTCCGCCCGGGGAATTTGGGCGATCTTGAATTCCTCGAAGCTTTTCAACAAGGCAAGCACCAGGTCCTTGTATAGCGCCATTCGCCCTTCTCTTGCTTCCATGTTACCAGTCACTTGCCCCACAATCAGACTAGAGTCAGATTTGATACTGACCCGGCTGATTTTCAAGGCTTGGGCAAGTCTGAGCCCTCCAGCAAGAGCTTCATATTCTGCTTCATTGTTCGTCCGCTTGAAGTTGAAGACGATTGCATGGTAGATCTTGAACCCCTCTGGGGTGGTAAACACGATTCCACCCCATATCCTCTAGGGCCAGATGCCCCATCTCCCGCCATCTCCCACCATTGCTCGGTAGGCTTGTCGACCGGTGCATCTGGAGTTAAACCGGTCATTTCCACAAGGAAGTCCGCAAGGGCTTGCCCTTTGATTGCTGATCTCGGCCGGTACTCAATGTTAAATTGAGTTAATATCATCGCCCATTTCACCATCCTTCCGGAGGATGTTGAATTCCGCAGTACTGCACCTAGTGGTTGGTCAGTCAAGACTTCCACCGGGTGAGCTTGGAAGTAGGACGTTAACTTCTTTGCGGAGATAAAAAGTGCGTAGGCTGTTTTCTCCATCGCTGTGTATCTACTTTCAGCTCCGTTTAGTGCTTTGCTCACATAATAAATGGGCTTTTGTGCCCCATCATCTCTTATTAAAACAGAGCTTACAGCATTTGGGGAAATTCCCAGGTACAGATGCAAGGTTTCACCCGGTTCGGGTTTAGACAGTACAATATCTGACACTAGGTACTCTTTTAGCTCTTCGAATGCCCTCAGGCAGTCTTCATCGCATGCAAATGTATTGGCCCTCTTCAGGACTTTGAAGAAGGGCAGGGATCTCTCAGCTGACCGGGAAAGGAACCTGCTGAGGGCCACTAGACGACCGGTAAACTTTTGGACATCCCTTACAGATGTGGGGGCCTGCTTTTCAGTGATAGCCCATATTTTTTCTGGGTTGGGCTCTATCCCTCTCTTGGTCACCATGAACCCCAAGAACTTCCCGGTACGAACCGCGAAGACGCACTTCTTGGGATTCAATCGGAGGTTGTATCTTGCCATGATATCGAATGTGGCACGCATATCAGCCGGGTGATTGAGAGATACCTGGCTTTTGATTAGCATGTCGTCGACGTACGCCTCCATGGTCTTTCCCAGCGGCGGTTTTAAGAGCTTGTTCACCATGCGCTGGTAGGTTGCCCCCGAATTCTTCAAGCCAAACACCATTACCCGATAACAGTAGGTTCCTTCGGGGTGAGGAATGACGTTTTTTCTTCGTCTTCTTTGGCCATGTAGATTTGGTGGTAGCCCTTAAAGGCATCCATGAAACTCAGGAGTTCACACCCCGCAGTTTCGTCCACCATTTGATCCAGACTGGGGAGGGGGTATGAATCCATCGGACAAGCCTTGTTTAAATTGTTAGAATAATAGACCAACGCTAGAGGGGGGGTGAATAGAGTTTGATCAAGAAATCGCAGGAATAAAAAATGAATAAACGAGAAGTAAAGAGGCACACCGATTTTACCCTGGTTCACCACAACTTGTTGCTAATCCAGCCTCCCGAGAGACTCTCTCGAGCTACACTACTATCTCGTTAAGCTTAACGGTGCTTAACAAACCCGTACAACTTGAGAATTTGAGTCACACGAACCTCAACGAACCTTCGAAGGAAACAGCCCTTCCCTCAAACAACAAGAGAAATACCTTCTCTTGTCAAGTGTCTAAGAACACTAAAAACACTCAAGAACAATACTCTCTTTTAGAGTGGATAATGAGTAAACTAAGAACGCTCAAGAACACAACACAAGCTTCACAAAAATGGCTCTCAAAAGCTATGAATAATTGGAGAATGATTTGCAATGAAAGAGTAGGAGTTGTGAAGTAATGTGATGTGTAAAACAGACCCAAACACCCCATTTTATAGTAGAAAAATAGGCTCCAACGGACCAAAGTATTTAAAGGGTGATTGGCACAATTTGTGGGATTTGATAAAATTTGGATCTGCTGAAATTCACCCAGACAGCGCTGTCCTAGGCCTGGACATCGTTGTTCTAGGCTTACGTTTTGAAAAATGGGAAGCAACGGTCATGCCAACAGCGATGTCTAAATTCCCTACATCGCTGTTTTGGCTGTTGACTTCCAAACAAGGAAAGTTTTAGCCTTAAATTTCTTCCAACGGTCAGGTCTCTACATCGATGTTCCATACTAGAACATCGCTGTTTAGGTCTGCCTTTGAAGATGGAAGTTTTGCCTGACAGCGCTGTTGCTGGGTCAACATCGCTGTCCAAAAACTTTCTGCCAATGCACTATATTTTTGG